ATAAAACAATGAAAATGAATAAGTAAATACATAATACTATGACATAATTTGTAAATATCAGTTTGTATTATACAATTTACTGTAGTGTGACATAATTCAATGATATGACTTCAAAAGTGTATACGCTAGAACGTATCTAAATAACAGCGCTATAAACACATGTGTCTAAGTTGTTTGGTTACAAATTATGAATACGCACTGATATATTTATGTTCAGTACAAACCTATTCTAGAATTCGCACTAAGACATGCATACTCATTAATTCGTAAATGCTAATTCATTCGTGACAGCATAGTATCACAACATATTTGCGAACCACGCTAAAAGGGAGAATTTTACATGCGTGACACGAAAAAGTCACAAAGTTATACATACGTACCAACTTTTTCCAATTTATATATATAGTATGCATCATTATTCCGGTATGCGGACTAGGGTTATATAAACACACATATTCATATGTGTTCATTAAATCACTATTCCTTGTATGCACTAATGTACTTGATTATTTAGTAACGCGCACTTTAGCGGCATAAAGCCACACTAAATTATGAATATGAATCAATTCATTTATATATATAATATGAAAACTTATTCAAGCTAATAAAAACACCATTGAATCCAAATTAACAATCATATTTAGAAACAAGCGTTAGGATTTACGCACGACTGACTGTACGGAAAACTCTTAGGAATTGAAAACGCCAGTACTGAAATAAATATAATCAGGAAAAAACCCACCAAAACCCCCCACCAAAAACAAAAACAACAAGATAACAATGTCAACAAAATCAGTTCTGAGTAAACTACATCGTACATAGAATTCATATGGTATTTACAGTGCTTTAAATTCAGATCAAATGAATTAACAATTTGTAGATTTGTTTTTTGTTTTGTAGTAATTAGAAAAAGGAGTCTGTTTGACCAGGACCTCCCTCCTCCGAGTGGGGGACATAGGGCGCAATATCGTCGTAAGACTTGACAAATACCTTCGCCGACTCCATCGTGACTTTGAAAAAGATGCGACCGTCGTTCGTCCAGTATGAAGCAATGCTTTTGGCTTTACGCGCACGGGAAAGTTCACTGATGAGTTTCTGTCTCTGTCTTGTTAGATCTTCCGAGATAAATACATTGAATGATCCGGATCTGTGGTTTTTAAGGGCAGTTTTGGACATAAATATTTTATTTTTTATTTTCCAGTTTTTGAATCTACATATAATTTGCCCTTTTCCGTTTCTGAGTTTTCCAATAATGTGCGAACGGTGAATATCTTCGGTAGTCAGAGGTGGAGATATCTTGAGTTTATTGTTACACAGATTAATAACAAGGTCGTCTGTACAAACAAGCTCACTCTGTGTCATCGGTACACCATGAAAACGGAGTGATACTTATTTTATCATCCGAAATTAATTTAATTAACGAACCAGCTCGAGTAAGCTTCTCTTAGAAATGGTAAAGAACACATTCGATTAGCCAAACTACTTCACCACAATTAAAAAAAATAAAAAAAATTTAAAAATCTAGACTCAAAATGCATTTATATTGAGACGCTTCCTTGAACTTTGAAAATACTTTAATTCCATTGATAATGAAAAAATGTCTCGATTTTCAAACGATCGGATAGAAACTCCAATGTAATAATAAAAGAGATATAACTTCGAACGAATTCACGAACGTAACTCCTTAAAAAATCATCCTACCTGTTAGAGTGTTTTCATACGGTAACTATCTGTCCTCCGTTTTATTGCGAGAACTCAATAACAAATGTGTTTCCTGTCTAGCAAATTGTGAGCCTTGCTAATTCCTTGTTATGAAGGCTGAGCCCTATGTATATCTATCCCATGTTATAACACGTGGCACTTACAACATACATTTTACTCCTGTTATAGAGTATAACTCCTCCTCCAAACCGGTCAAAACTCTTGTGTCAAACCAAAGTGTCACTTCTCAGCAATTTTCCCCTCCTCGTTGAAGAGATTGATCCCTTCAGCACAGATACTCCTCCATCCTGCTGGGAAGTGCGTCCGTTGTCGTACGCGACTCATAAACGATTTTATCCCGTAAAGGTGACATATACATCATCACAATAATTTCCTCCCGGTTCCAAAAAGGCGACCTCTACACGAAATAATACTTGCGCCGTTGAGTGGGATCACTGTAACTTACGTATCATTATCTTCCTGACAACTACACCAAATACTAATTATATCTTTCCATCCTACCTTAGAGTGTGACCCTTACTTACATCACAATCTTTCCTCTTTGTTGTAGGGTATGACACTTGCATCAAATATGTATTTCAAATAAATCTTTCCTTCTTGTTGTAAAGTGTGCGGACCCTCATATCAAATTTATCTCTCTTTTCTGTTGTAGAGAATGATCTAGAGCAATATAATTTCATCTCATTATCAAATGTGGCCCCTATATAAAGCATGTATTTCCTCATCGTTATAGAGTGTGCCCTCAACATCAAATTAGGAAATAGTGACGCGCTTATTACATTAATTGAAGTGCTGGGTAAACATGTACATAATAGTGTTTTTTTTTTACTATTCCACATCGTTTAAAGTTCGTTTTGTTTGAGGACTCTATATTACTCGCCGTTTCCTCGGGTTTTTGGAGTAAAGTTCCTTAACAGTACGCGGTATTAAACTTATACAGCGTTCACATTTTGATGTATACATATTCCTATGTACTGTCACAACTGTAACATGACGTATATGTTTTGTTCAGCCCTTTTCACTTTTATTGTACCGATCAGTTCCAATATCCAACTTAATGAGAAGACCGTCTTCTTATTTTTTGATATTTTTCCAAATTTGTATTTACAATAGGTTTTCCTTGATATCACACAAAACCTATGAAATAAAATTCTAAAGCGAATACTTGGCTAGATGAGTTGATCTTGCTGTAATATATCACATTTTTTATTTTAGTAGTGCCCATGGTAAAGTCTGATGACAAGGTGACCTCTAACCTCTTATAGTCATATCTAATAGGGTGGTGGGTTTCGGGAAGTTGATAAAAATCGCCTTTTATGGAGACGGCCGCAGTTCGATTGCCTGATTGGACATAAAAATGTATTGGTCGTCTGCCCGACATCCTCGATACGCCAGGGGCTACAGTCACTTTCGCTCTCTGCACCCCTGGCTAGCTATTTGATAAGTCTCGGGTAAAAAACAACCTGACCAATCGCTAGGGTCATACCTGTCCTTTGAGGGCTATAGAGGAGAGACACCCGACTTCAAAGCCAGTTATTTTTACCGGTATGCAGCTCCAGATTGATTTAATGTACATCATAGTATCAAACTAGTCTTCTTGTCTCATCAACAAGGTTATGCTCACTGAGTCTCCGGACGCCTTTCTCGATTCCATCCGTACAAACAAGAGTGATTATATAAGTTGATTGAACATGCTTCATAATTGTTGTAGAATAAACAGAAAAAAATACATGCATTATTGATTTTGCCATATGTGGACCCTAAATAAGTTTTTAACTTTATTGATATTTTTTACCCCTTGCATTTCTTGTGACGCATGTACAATACACTTTATCTGACTGTCCTAGTGTCAACAGGTACAGATATGATATGAACTTGCATATATATCTTACATATATGTGTGCGTATATATGGATCGTACAAAACAGTACGACGACAGAAAAAATGTCGAATTTGCCCTAAAAACTTAAATGTAAAAGAATATATTGTTAAACTCGCAAAAAGAAAAAACAGAATAACAATTTGTGAAATTGATATATTTATATTGTATACGGAAGTTGAACCACTGCAGGTTTTTCCGGATACACATATTGACGTAATGTTATCTATTTATAAGTACTTGCACAGGCCAGGGGTATGGCTAGGGGTGTTTATCAGTGTGTGATAATAGGCCTATACATATAATTTGATATACAATAATGGAAGCGTCTGCTACTGACAGTCGTGTGTCACACATACCGCAAGAATGAAGATCATGTATTCTAAGGATATCGTTACAAAACACAACCACCAGAATACCAACAGATAACAGTAAGTATACGTGTAAAACGTATTACATAGGATAATGTTATCTATATATTGTCCTACTACATATACGTGTTAATTATCAAAAAACATTTCTTTGTTTAAACATAAATGACATGCTTTTGGGCACAAATGCGAAAAAAAGCCACCATCGATTGAATGTTTTTGGTTAAATATGCTTTTATAAAGAGGACATTTATAAATTCAAGGCTGATACAGAAAGCGAAACAGCCCATTCTGTTTCCAGGTAGGCGCATATATGTATATATGTGTGTGTGTGTGTGTAAACATCCGCTTTGGGCTGTTGTTCGTCTCAGAGCTTGGTCCGTTTTGCGTACATGTACAGTGTATATCGATCTGTTTTGTCTCGGTATGTATGACCTAGTTAAGAATTCTATGGACACATTGTAGGTGTACATATACGTTAAAATAATTTTGTAGTGTGTACAAATAGAGATAATACATGTTTAGGTTCTCGTCTGCATGTAATGTTCAGTCCGGATCTTGTGAAGACTAAATCAATGTTTTAAACACACATCTCTGGTACGTGAAACTAACAATTCTTTTTTGTTTGAATTCACTAGACAGCCGTCGATAATACTATGACAAGAAGTTTCTTTTTGAAGGAAAGTTCGCGCTGACTTTTCTGTTTTTTGGTTTTTGTTAAACGGTTTTTTGTTTGTTTGTTTGTTTGTTTGTTTGTTTATCTATTTATTATAACGATACGCTACATGTTTCAGAGAAAACGTTATATCACTTATATCAGGGAAAGAATCGATATAAGACATGAACTTATGGAATGTCACGTCAATAAGGTAATTTCACATGTAGGTGTACATATCTATGTAAGCGCACGGAATAAAAACGATGACACTTACATGTAAATGATAAACATGCTTAAGTGTATGTTTTGGTGTTATGTGATCGTGTCATGTGATCGTGTAATGTGGTGATGTTAATATGTGGTGGTGTTATGTGATCATGTTATGTGATCGGGTTATGTGGTGGTGTTATGTGGTTGCGTTATGTGGTGGTGTTATGTGATCATGTTATGTGGTGGTGATGTGTGGTGGTGTTATGTGGTGGTGTTATGTGATCATGTTATGTGGTCGGGTTATGTGGTGGTGTTATGTGGTTGCGTTATGTGGTGGTGTTATGTGATCATGTTATGTGATCGGGTTATGTTGTGGTGTTATGTGGTGGTGTTATGTGATCATGTTTTGTGGTGGTGATGTGTGGTGGTGTTATGTGGTGGTGTTATGTGATCATGTTATGTGATCGCGTTATGTGGTGGTGATATGTGGTGGTGTTATGTGATCATGTTATGTGCTCGTGTTATCTGGTGGTGATATGTGGTTGTGTTATGTGGTGGTGTTATGTGGTGGTGTTGTGTGATCGGGTTATGTTGTGGTGTTATGTGATCATGTTATGTGATCGTTTTATGTTGTGGTGTTATGTGGTGGTGATATGTGGTGGTGTTATGTGGTGGTGTTATGTAATCTAGTCATGTGATCGTGTTATGTGGTGGTTATATGTTGTGGTGATATGTGGTGGTGTTATGTGGTGGTGTTATGTGATCATGTTATGTGATCGGGTTATGTTGTGGTGTTATGTGGTGGTGATATGTGGTGGTGTTATGTGGTGGTGTTATGTGATCATGTTATGTGATCGTGTTATTTGGTGGTGTTATGTGGTGGTGATATGTGGTGGTGTTATGTGATGTTGTTATGTGGTGGTGTTATATGGTGGTAATATGTGGTGGTAGTATGCGATCGTGTTATGTGATGGTATTATGTGATCGTTTTATATGATGTTGTTATGTGGTGGTGTTATGTGGTGGTATTATGTGGTGGTGTTATGTGATTGTGTTATGTGACTGTGATATGAGGTTGTGTTATGTGATGTTGTTATGTGGTGGTGTTATGTAATGGTGTAATGTGGTGGTGTTATATGGTGGTGATATGTGGAAGCGATATGTGATGGTGCTATATGATCGTGTTATGTGATGATGCTATGTGATAGTGTTATGTGATGGTGTTATGTGATCGTGTTATGTGATGGTGTTATGTGATCGTGTTATGTGATGGTGTTATGTGATTGTGTTATGTTGTGGTGTTATATGATCGTGCTATGTGATGGTGTTATATGATCGTGCTATGTGGTGGTGTTATTTGGTCGCGTAATGTATCGTGTTATGTGATGGTTCTATGTGATAGTGTTTTGTGATGGTTCTATGTGATAGTGTTATATGATCGTGGTATGTGGTGGTATTTGGTCGCGTTAGGTGATCGTGTTATGTGATGGTGCTATGTTATCGTGTTACGGGTGGTGTTATATGGTGATGGTGTTTTTTCGTAGTGGTGTTATGTGGTGGTGTTATTTAGACTTGGTGTTATTTGGTGCTGGTGTTATATTTTGGTGGTGTTATGTGGACTTTGTGTTATGTTGTGAAAGTGTTATGTGATGGTGTTATTTGTTGGTAGTGTTATGTGATGGTGGTGTTATTTGGTGGTTTTATGTGGTGGTGTTATGTGGACTTGGTGTTATGATGTTTGCGGTGTTATGTAAAGGTGTTATGTTATAGTGTTATGTGGTGGTGGTGGTGGTGGTATTATGTGATGGTGGTGGTTTTATGTGGACTTGGTGTTATGATGTTTGCGGTTTTATGTAAAGGTGTTATGTTATAGTGTTATGTGGTGGTAGTGGTATTATGTGATGGTGGTGGTGTTATGTGGACTTGGTGTTATGATGTTTTCGGTTTTATGTAAAGGTGTTGTGTTATAGTGTTATGGGGTTGTGGTGGTGGTTGTGGTATTATGTGATGGAGGTGGTGTTATGTGGTCTTGGTGTTATGATGTTAGCGGTGTTATGTAAAGGGGTTATGTTATAGTGGTATGTGGTTGTGGTGGGGGGGGGGGTGGTGGTGGTGGTTGATCATGTTATGTGATCGGGTTATGTGGTGGTGTTATTTAGACTTGGTGTTATTTGGTGGTGTTATGTGATGGTTCTATGTGATAGTGTTATGTGATGGTTCTATGTGATAGTGTTTTGTGATGGTTCTATGTGATAGTGTTTTGTGATGGTTCTATGTGATAGTGTTATATGATCGTGGTATGTGGTGGTATTTGGTCGCGTTAGGTGATCGTGTTCTGTGATGGTGCTATGTTATCGTGTTACGGGTGGTGTTATATGGTGATGGTGTTTTTTCGTAGTGGTGTTATGTGGTCTTGGTGTTATGATGTTTGCGGTTTTATGTAAAGGTGTTAGGTTATAGTGTTATGTGGTTGTGGTGGTGGTGGTGGTGGTATTATGTGATGGTGGTGGTGTTATGTGGACTTGGTGTTATGATGTACGCGGTGTTATGTAAAGGTGTTATGTTATAGTGTTATGTGGTGGTGGTGGTGGTGGTGGTATTATGTGATGGTGGGGGTTTTATGTGGACTTGGTGTTATGATGTTTGCGGTGTTATGTAAAGGTGTTATGTTATAGTGTTATGTGGTGGTGGTGGTGGTGGTGGTGGTGGTATTATGTGATGGTGGTGGTTTTATGTTATAGTGTTATGTTGTGTTCAATAAGCAACGTAAAAATAAAGAACAAGAAAGATCTTTTAAAAGACAAACGACAGAGTTTCGATATATTTGGCGCATTTTGGTACGTATCAGTTATCGAGTCGAATGTCGAGTAAATATTGTATATGAAGTACAAATGTAGTTGTTATTCCTAAGGCAGCATTATATCATGTTTGTGCTGTTTTGATGTACAATGTACAACCAGAGGTGTAAAATATGAAGCGTGTGATCTTGTCGGTCATTTTTATATTAGTACATACCAAATAATATGGTACGATCGTAGTTCCTTCACATTAAAACCTTGTTTTGTAGAAACTGTATTTAAAATTTTAACCAATCCAAAAACAACCAAACATTCAGTCTACATTGTCTTATAAGATTGCTTTACATAAAAGAACATTAAAACAGACATTTGTTGTCAACAGGTATGGCGTGTCAAACATTGTAACACAATTTATCATACTACTGGAACGAGCGGAAAGATATAAAAATAGATACATAATTATTGTGATCATTTTTTACTCGTGTGATACAGCTTTGTACAATATTTTGGTATATCTAGTTTATTTCAGTATTAGAAACATTCTAACACGTTTATGACTAGCAGGAGGTGACAGAGAACAACAGGACAACACTGTAGCTGATAAAGTGAGCAATGTTCTGCCTTACCTGTTTATTTGTTTGCAATTTGAACATTAATACTACTTTTTAAAAAAGTGTAACTTTTTATTAAAGAATATGATAATAATATATCAAATTATTATTTTGTAAATGACATCTCTGATAAGTTGATAGTTTAAATGACTTTGAGTTTTATCAGACTTTGTAAATACACAATAAATGCTAAGTTTGTTTTGAACACAAACAGTAAATGAATACTTATTTTGCGAGCTTTCGAAAACGTTTGTTTCTTTTATCAAGCAAAGAGTGTAAATGACCGGTGTCTCGACTATAAAACGCTTAAGACAACTCACAAAGCCACAATGTGCCGAAATAGTAAATTCAGCTGTTAAAAATCCTAGAGACATTTCGCCAAATAGCGCCAAATTAGATTCTTTGCTTGAAAAAGGACACAGACGTTCTCAAAAGCTCGCAAAATAAGTTTTCAATTACTGATTGTGTTTCAAAACAAATTAGCATTTATTATTCATACCAAACCTCATTCAATTGCTATTTCTGAGAACCACAAATGCACCATAGCCAAAAATGGAATCAGTATTGGTATATTACACGGATATCTTGTTCCCGTTATATAACATTTTATTTTAATTGATTTCATTCGGTTTTTAAGTTCTAAACCGCTGAAGACTTTTTGCCGATGGATCCAATTGGTGCGATAATTGTAATCTATCAAAATGTTTGCCAATGTGATTTTAACAATATTGTATATGTTTACGATAGCTTCAACATACTTATATATATATATATGTTGGGCTTGCAGACGAGCAGACGATTGGTATGACTAACCACAACAGTGAGCTGACCTGGGAACAAGGGGGCAACGATGAAAGTATAGTAAGTAATATAAATATGTATATGTTCACAAGAATGTCATGTGGTTTGGTTGATTCTTTATATATCTGAAATGAGGATGTAATTTTATCATATTTTTAAAACTTAATGTGTACTGAATATTTTCCCATTCACACCCAATATCACGGGTTGTTACATAACTCGGCGATGGAGCCTGGTGATCAATTTAGGGACGAGGAGGGATTTTGTATAATTTGTGTTTCCGTTTTGTACTCAAGCAAAATCGATGCATATTATCATTCGCTTTCTTTGAGATATTCTCGCTGTATTGCGGTTATACTATATTCTTATTTACATCCTCGTCTTCAGGAGGAGAGCTCCAATCCATCTCCTTTGTATTGTTCCACGGAACATGACGACGTTTTAGCGATGGATAACAGCCAGGAAACTCTAGATCTGCATGAAGAGGAAAACGTAAGAACTTTACTATTACAAAATGTAAGGCATTTTTTTTAAATAAATGTTTTTGACTTGCCTATCAAAAGTTTTGAAGAAATTGAAGTACATATTTGTAAATGATTCAGTCGTTTTGCAAATTTTCAATTATTTATTTCTAGGGAGAACCTGTCAATGCGCGTAAGAAAAAGAAATCTAAACGAAAAAAGAAAAAGAAAACCGGCAGAAAACAAGCGGCTGAGTCACAGGTAAGATGTACTGATGTTACTTATTTGTTGATAACGAACACATATAATTACACTTACCGAAAAAATTATATTTGTAAAATAAAATATAGATCAATTTGAAAAAGTACATGTAGACGAAGAAATATAAACACGACAGTCAGATAATAAATGAGAAAAAAATCATAAACATTTAAAATCAAAGTCTTTGCGGAAAGACAAAAGCTGAAACCTGTAAACATCAAAACATAATGTTTTGTAAATAGGATATTTTTGCGAAAGCCATATTCGCTATTCGGCATGTTCGTGAATCAGAAATCAGTTGTCTGTGACTGTAGTATATTATAGTATCAGTGAAACACTACGAATTTCTACCTTGATAAATCGGGAACCACGCTATACGTACACTATGGTTTTTTTTCTAATAAAATAAAACTTCATCTATTTTTCACCAATTGCAAAACAAGTTCTATATTATATTAATCACTTCTTGTTTGTCCGGAGAAATTCTATGTGGTCGGGCAGATGACCCCTTACCTTTTGATGTACAATTAGAAAATCGAACCCCGGTTGTTTCGGTGAAAGGCGAGCTCGCTATCCATTGCACCATCCGACCACTTTGTTTCTATTAAAGAGGGTATTTCCAGTGGATTTATTGGATGATCAGATATTCGCGGTATGCGTAATCTATCGAATATACTGATTAATCCTGTATTTTTAAAGATGTTAACTGTATACATTACTGTCAACATAGGCTGATATACATATCTATCTAAACATTCCGATCTCGGTACTTATGACATAATCAGTAGACAATTTGTCCCTATGGCACTATAGAGTATCGGGCTGTTGACCACTGCATCATCGAAAACTTCTTTTGTAAGGAAGTGAAGTAGTGTAATGGTAGGAGCTGCGGATATTTCTCGGTTTGATGATTGGGTGTCGTTTGTCTCGAGTTCGAGACTTGACAGCGCACGAGTCATAAAAATATCTTCCTTCCTGACTTTCTGTTTCTATGTCATTTATTTACATTTATATAGAAAAATGTGAAACTTGACAAAATGGAAAAAAGATATACAAAAACCGAGTTGATTGACAAATAATACGTTACATTTTCCACTAACGTTTTCACTGTATTTGCTCTTCAGGTACATAGTAACACTGTTTAACTGTACCACTGTTACTGCGTATCTGAAGAAGTACTAAGTAATACAGTGATCACGTTAGTGCAAAATGCTACGTCTCCTTTTGTTAAATAACTCGTTTTTGTATATATATATATATTTATATATTTGTTTGGCTAGGAGGCGGTAGCAGCTAGTGGTACGGTTATCCACGACAGCGAGTTAACTGGAAAACAACAGGGTAACACGGATACAACAGTAAGTGGCTCTGTCGTAAGCAAACAGAAATAACATGATAATTTTTTTTTGAAATATGATAATTTCATATATTTTTCTCAACGAGATATTTATTTGTTCATCACATGCAACCTGAAATCGCTCTATATGGGAGGGAGCCTTGTTATTAATTTGGGGACACAAGGGTTTTTAATATAATTAAATGTACGTTATACGCTTTGTAATTGGGATAATTTCTATGTAAGTATGTACAAATCTACGTTCTCATTTTAATAATAAGAGTTGTAGATCAACCTCAATTTCATGTTTAACGGATCAAGACGACGTCTTATCGACCAAGACACTCTGGATACAGGGGAGCACGTGGGAATAATTAACCTGCAAAATATAAAGGGTTTCATCATAACCCTCTTTATAGTAATACAGACATAAAATTATATTTGATTAAATCATTTTGTAAAACAGTGATCATTTATCTCTGAGAAGAACCTCTCACTATGATTCAGATATCAACCGGAAGGGAAATTTAAACTAACAGGCAACACACGTCAATGTAACAGGACTTTATTCTTACAAAATAAAAATGATATTATCATCATTAACCATATTAAGTGTCCATAATATTTTCTATTGATTCGAATATTGAATCGTTATTAAGAATATTATTGTTTTTACCAGAAAGAAACTGACGATGAATATAAGAAATCAACGAATGAGGAGGATGAAACTGACGGGAAACAAACGGCCGAGTCAGAGGTTATGGCCGAGTCACAAGTTACAGCCGAGTCACAGGTGACGGTCGAGTCAAAGGATACAGTCGTGTCATTGGTTACAGACGAGTCACAGATAACAGCCGAGTCACGGGTGACGGTCGAGTCAAAGGATACAGTCGTGTCATTGGTTACAGACGAGTCACAGACAACAGCCGATTCACAGATAACAGCCGAGTCACAGGTGAGAAAAAAAAATATACCAGGAATATTGAATTAACGAAACAATAGTGTCAACAGAAAGGCAAACGTTGGAAACATAATATATAATACATTTGTATGAGAGAAAATTAACATCCAAAATCAACATTCGGCAGGAAATACCACATTTGAAACCTAGAAAGGCATCAAAATACCACTGTTTAGATATCAAAGCACTAGTAAACACGAGAACTGTCTATTTTGTTTTAAGGAGGAATGTTCTAGTTCGAAGGGACGTGACGTTGACCTATTGACGATTCCTGTCCAGGAAACTATTGATATGGAGAAACAAGTAAGGGCATTACTACAAATGATTAAGAATTGAACCATCAATGCTGTTACTGTTAAAAGAAATATTGCTAGATACCTTACATCTAGTAATAACATGCAACTGCTGGTCCTTGTATTGTATTAGTGACATAATGCCCTTTGTATACACGAGCTATTGGAAACCAAGCTTTACATTTCCTTGTTTTATTCTTTACGAGAGTATTTTTTTGTAGATGTTGATGCAATAACTTAAAGGAACAATGTTAATAAACGATCTTGTATATTTGATATTCTGTTTTTCAATAAAAAAAATAAAAAGATAAAATATAAATTGGAAAATTTATAAAATCAAGATAATTGCTTGGTGTTAAATATTGTTTGATATTGGTGACGAAACGCTTTTTTCCCAAACGAGATATTGGGAACCAGGATAAATGTACAATCTCTTTTTATGCTTATCAATGCTTGTACATTTTGATACAATAGAAAGAGAAAGAAATGTGTTCAATTTTCCCCCCGTTACGTGACAATTAAGTGATTTGAGGTTATGCAGTTTTAGTAATGCTCATTGTTGGTTTAATTAGTTCGACATCGCACCGTATTTACATTCTCCTTGTCCTTCAAGACAAAAGTTATATTTGGTTTTGAAATTAAATCAAATTTATGTGACAATTGTATTATATTCAATGGTTCTGCCAATGCGAGTAAGACGAATTTAAGTTATATACGATAGAGTCACCATTCTTTAATGTTTTGCTAGGAGATGACTACAGCGACCGGTATGTCTACCAACGACAGTGGTGTTACCGGGGAACAACAGAGCAACATTGATGATAGAGTAAGTGAACATTTCAAAGTTCATCGGAAAAAAATCATTTGATTGTGTTAATGCTTTACTCTTTTGAAGTGAGATTGTAATTTATTGATATTTAAAAAAAACCATTAAATATACTAAATAATGTCTCTTTTACAACCATAACAATGTGCTTTTACATTGCTCGAGGCTGGACCCTGGTTATCAATGTAGTGACAAAGACGGATTCTGTCTAATTTGTGTGTCCGTTTTGTATTCAAGCAAAATTGATGCATGAGTATTATCTTGATGTATGTTCTCGCCTGAAGGAGGATAGTTCAATTCTATTTCCTATTCATTGTTCCACAGAACATACCCAAGTAATTGATTCTATTGTTTTGTAAAGTTTTAATTGTTGATTTCTAGGAAGAACCTGTCACTTCGCGAAAGAAAAAGAAATCTAAACGTAAAAAGAAAAAGAAAAACAGAACTGAACAAACGGAAGAGTTACAGGTAAGACTTACTTAAGTGTACTTTTTTAAATTACAAATCAATTGTTTGTGGTTAGTAATTCGTATTTAAACAAAGAGATAATATCACAAGCGTCCACTAAACTGTATGGACTGTCCTATAAGTTACCCGCATGTTTTATAAGTGCTTCACTTATTGGATAGTTGTACATGTGACATCACATTCAAGATGATTGACGGGCGGAGCTAAATTGGAGTCATTCTGCGATCATGTTTAAACTAAAATAATTAACACATACATGTTTTTCAGGATGACATTAAATCTTAAGACCAAGCGGTGTCCTATCCTTATGACACAACATATTTCAAATCAAAAGCTAGAATACCAGTGGTGTATATATCCTTGTAATTCAACGCGTTCAAATTCCACTAACGATTTACTTTCCTTCAAATTTAACCAAATAAAACATGTCCCCCGACGAGACACTTATTTCCATACCGTTTGGAGCTCTTATACATAAATTGCCGTTTCTGTCCCGATCTTTGCCTCTTTGTGTTTTTGAACCAGGTTACGTCACGTTAGTCACATAATTTAATAATATTTTACTCGTTAGTACGTTATATGAGCGAACCGCTGTTGTTTTCTCAAAAAGTAACTGTGAATAAGTTTTGCTTTGATCCAGATTAATTCTGCACTTCTGTCGCAAAATAACTGTTTTTCCAAAATATTGCGGCAAAGATATTCTTACATTTATGGCATTTCTGCAACTTCTGTCAGTGTCTGGATATCCCTCTGGGTTTTTTCGATGTTAATATAGAATCCAGCTTCTTGAATAATTTGTTCCTCCCTTTAGTGGTTCCACTTTCTTCAATTGTTGTGTAATATGTCCCATTTCATTCTGAGATATGTCAATGATGTCGCAAGTGTGTAACATGTTATCAATAGAGTGGACATGACAGACTGCTCACACCTGGATACCTATTTGATAAATTAAGGATACAAAGTGGAGCGGTATTCGGGCCAATATTTGTTCTCATACTTGTTGAAAACTTATTAGGTTTCGGTTGATATCTAACTTAAAGTATCAGTGATGCAATATTAATTTTTACTCCGATAAATAGGGAATCATTACGTGTCAGTAATGCATTACTTATGGCTACATTGATAAAAGGGGAACCATGCTTAATGTACTATGTTTCCTATAAATCAATTGTGGAGGTTAATACGGTATTAAATCTGTGTAATATTTGTTATGCATCGGATATGTTTAAGGATATTAACTGTATATGTTTGGCTAGGAGGCGACAGCAGCTATTGGTACGAGTACCAACGACGGAGAGTTATATGGAAAACAGCAACACAAAAGTGACACACTAGTAAGTAGGTCAACTGAATGTTAACGGAAATACCATTTTCTCGAGACGTTAAGGTTTTGGTCATAATAAAAAAAAAATCAACAAATGATCCATTTGTTAATCAAAAGAAATAACAAGCGTTAAAAATCGTTAAATATAGGAACTTGATGATTAATTTTCGGACAAAGAGGATTTCCATATGTATTTTTCTGGTAATTTTGTACCGAAGCAGAGTTAATATGTACACATACATATGATACGTCTTGTAATTTTACTTTCTATTCATGAAATTGTTTCACATACAAATCTTCGTTCTCATTTTTAGGAGGAGAGTTCCAATCAAACCTCAGTTTTATATTCAGTGGAACAGGCTGACATCTTAGCAAAGGGTCTCTACCAGGAAACTGTTTTTACAGAGGAACACGTAAGGATATACCGATTTCAAAATATAAAGGATTTTATCATTTAGTTGCTTTCCTCGTGCATTTTAATTTTCTCAGTAAAGAGATACACATTGCATTTGATTCCATAGCTTTGTAACATTATATCTTTGAGCGAAAGAAATCAATCGGAATAAAAACTCAAACTGACAGGAAATAAAGGCCAAGTCACAGAACTCTACTATTACATTTGTTCAGGATTGTATCATCATATTCCTTTTCGACCTGTCCATTATTTTCCATTGATTGAAATTGAAAATTAAACGGATATGAATTTGATTCAATAGGTAAATAAATTAATAAATTATAAATTATTTAATTGTTAACACCAGAAAGAGAAAGATAAAACTGGCGGAAAACAAACGGCCGAGGCGCAGATTACAGCCGAGTCACATATTACAGCCAAGTCACAGATTACAGCCGAATCACATACATGTATAACAGCCGAATCGCAGATGGCGGCCGAATCACAGGTGACAGTCAAGTCACATGGAAAGGTAAGCATAGGAAACAAGCAGATATCAAATGGAATGAAAATTAAAATTAATCTTGATATCTAAATATAAAAACAATTGAAAGGCTGGTAATTGTTAAATAGGATACATTTGAGAGAGATGTGAGTGATAACGCTGTTAGTTAAATATTGTATGGTATCTTTGATTTATTGGAAACCACGCTGGATGTGCATTTTCTTTTTATGCTTTACGAGTGTAATGGAATTTTGAATGGAATTTCAAACAGGAAAAAAATGTGTACACGGTCCAATATGTTTCATAATCTACTTTGCAATAAAAGCAAACAAAAAACAAAAAACAATAAGTGAAAATAAATAAATTGTTAAATCAAAAAAACAATCAACATAATTTAACTTGGGTTTTTCTGGGAGGAGACTGTAGCTTGTTGTACATGCACGATGCAAAATAAAAAGCGATTTGTAATTAAGATACTTTATGTATACAAATAAATCATATCCTTATTGTACCCACGCTTTAGTGCTGGGGGTTAAGTATATTAGTAATACTAATTCATATTGTAAATTAAATATAATTTAAGTATTTGTAATTGATATACTTTATGTATACAAATAAATCATATCCTTATTGTACCCAAGATTAGTGATGGGGGTTAAGTATATTGGAAATTCTAATTCATATTGTAAATTAAATATAATTTAAGTATTTGTAATTGAGATACTTTATGTACATAAAAATAAATCATATCCTTATTGTACCCAAGCTTAGTGATGGGGGTTAAGTATAAAGTAATTTCTTCGTTGGTGCGTGCGTTTGTAGTAAAAGAGGGGCCCCGGTGGCCAAGTGGTTAACGCGTCTGATATTCTGCTACCACTAGCCCTCCACTACTGGGTCGCGGGTTCGAGGAGCAGGCGCCAGGTACTGGCCGTAGGTCGGTGTTTTTTTGCGGGAACTCTGGTTTCCTCCACCACCAAAACCTGGCACGTCCTTAAATGACCATAGCTGTTAATAGGACGTTAAACACAAAAAAACCCAAACCAAACAAAGACCGTAGTAACAAGTTTATGTACAAGATATATCACGAACAAATTTAGTTTATTTTTACATCATAGTATGATCTCAATCTTCGTGAACGATAAATACACCATAGCCAAAAATAGAATAATTTTGGTACATTTACCCGAATGTCTTGTTCCCGTTGATATGTTCATAACAGATATGTAAATATGATGCTGTAAGATCTACGTGTAAACCATTTGGGAAACATTTTGTTAATATTCGTTTCTTTTGGTTTCGAAGTCCTTAGAAAAATTAACTAAACTAATAAAATTTGATTTCACCGATTTGTGTGATACTTGTTATCCATTTAATATGGTGCCAATGTGCTTTTCACAAAATTAATATATATTCGAGGGAGTCAACCTATTCTTATATATGTTTGGCTTTATTTGTTCACAAGAATATCAGGTGATTAGGTTGATTCTTTATACGTCTGAAATGAGATTGTTACATAACTCGGCGTTGGAGCCTGGTGATCAATTTAGGAGGGATTTTGTATAATTTGTGTTTCCGTCTTGTACTCAAGCAAAATCGATTCATACTATCATGCGCTTTCTTTGAGATATTCTCGCTGTATACGGTTATATGATATTCTTATTAACATCTTCGTCTTCAGGAGGAGAGCTCCAATCCATCTCCTTTTTATTGTTCACCGAAACATGACGACGTTTTAGCGATGGATCACAGCCAGGAAACTGTGCATACGGAGGAAAATGTAAGGACTTAACTATTACAAAATGTAAGGTATTTTTTTAAATGAATGTTTTTGACTTGCCTTTCCAAAGATTTGAAGAAATTGAAGTACATATTTGTAAATGGTTCAGTCGTTTTGTAAATTTTCAATTGTTTATTGCTAGGAAGAACCTGTCACTTTGCGTAAGAAAAAGAAATCTAAACGAAAAAAGAAAACCGGCAGAAAACAAGCGGCTGAGTCACAGGTAAGATATACTGATGTTACTTATTTGCTAATGACGAACACAAATAATTACACTTACCAGAAAAATTACCAGTAAAATAAAATATTTATCAATTTGAAAAAGTAGACTAAGAAATATAAACACGACAGTCAGATAGTACATGAAAGGAACAAATATAAACATCCAAAATCAAAGTCCGAGCGGAAAGACAAAAGTTGAAACCTGTAGACATCATGACATAATGTGTTGTAAATGGTGCATTTTAGCTATACACTTATTCGTAATTCGACTTGTTCGTGAATTAGAAATCAATTGTTTGTGACTAGTATTTTATAATACCAGTGATGCACTGCGAATATTTACCTTAATAAATGGGAAACACGCTATACTTATCTATATTTACATTGCGATCTAGACTTTTAGCGTTTGAAGTAATGTAATGGAATGAGCTGCGGGTATTTCTCGGCTAGGCGATTGGTTGTCGTTGGTCGTGAGTTCGAGGCCCAGACAGGGCACGAATCATAAAAATGTCCCCCTTCCTGGAGTTTTGTTTCTACGTCATTTATATATATTTATATAGAAAATGTCAAACTTGACAAAATGCAAATAATTATAAATTAAAAAAAAAAAGGTTAGGTGACCAAATAAGACGTTACACGTTACAACATTTTGCACTAACGTTTTCACTGTATTAGTTCGTCAGGTGCATAGTAACACTGCTTAGCTGTAAGACTGCCACCATGCACCTTAAGAGGTACTTAAGAATACAGTGACAACGGTAGTGCAAAATGTTAAGTCCTATTTTATCAATTAACTCGCTTTTTATGTATATATATGTTTGGTTAGGAGGCGACCGCAGCAGCTAATGGTACGGTTATCCACGACAAAGTGTTAACTGGGAAACAACAGGGAAACACGGATACACCAGTAAGTGGGATCTGTCGTAAGCAAAAATAAATGACGTATGATATAATTTAACTTTTCTGAATTATGACTGTTTTATATATCATTTTTCTCAACAAAATATTTATTTGTTCATCACTTGCAACATAAGTAATCTGAAATCGCTCTAAATGGGAGCCTGGTGATGAATTGGTTGGTTTTCAATATGTTCTGTTGGTTCAATTTGTGCTGGGCACATCTACATTATGAGCTTTGTAATTGGGATAAGTTCTATGTAAGTGTGTACGAATCTACGTTCTCATTTTAAGGACGTGAGTTGTAATACAACCTCAGTTTTATGTTTAACGGATTACGACGACGTCTTATTGACGAGTTGATACACAAGAGCACATGAGAACATTTAACCTACAAAATGTTAAAGATTTCTTCATTTTCCCCCTTTTTAAACTTTCAAGTAATAGAGACATAAATCTATATTTGATTAAATCGTTTTGTAAAAAAAGTAATCATTTATTTCTAGAAAGAACTTCTCACTACCAACAGAAAGGGAACTTTAAACGTACAGGAAACAAACGTCAGTGTCACAGGACTTTACTCTTACAAAATAAAAAAAGGTTATTATCATCATTAACCCGTTTAAGTACCAATAGTATTTTCTCTCAATTCGAATAAATATTTAAATATCAATGTGAATGATTCAATTTTCATGGAAATAATCATTTATATTACCAGAACCACACTGCCGATGAGTTTAAGAATTCAACGGGAGTGGAAGATGAAACTGACGAGAACCAAACGACCGAGTCACAGGTTACAGCCTCACAGGTTACAGCCGAGTCACACGTTACAGCCGAGTCACAGGTTATAGCCGAGTCACAGGTAATAGCCGAGTCACAGGTTAAAGCCGAGTCACAAGTTACAACCGAGTCACAGGTTACAGTCGAGTCAACGGTTACAGCCGAGTCAAAGATAACAGCGGAGTCAGAGGTGAGATGTGTTATATATTATTATTTTCGTTTTAATCTCGAATGCATGTATTTTAACCTAATTAGAAGAACATATCAGTAAAATACAATTGATAGAAAAAAAATTACAGCACGGGCTGTAGACTACTGAGTGTAGACAAAAAAGGCAAGCATAGAAAACAGGAATATATAAAGTGAAGGAAAAATGAACATCACAAATTAGCATTCGGCAGGAAACACAACATTTGAAACCAGACAGGCTTCAAATCACCATTGTTTAGACATCAAAGTACTGGTTAAAGCCTGATTTGTCTTACTTGTTTTAATGAGAAATGTTCTAGTCCGCCCAGGAAACACAGATCTTGGGAACCAGACTATATGTACATTCTGTTTTTATACTTTACGTTATTAATGCTTGTATATTTAGATACAATATGTACCAGAGCCGGTGTTATTATACTAATATGTTTCGTGATTTGTTTATCTAAACAAAAATAGAAACATCTAGTTTATAAAAGCAACTAAGGTATATGTTTTGCTGGAATGAAACTGACAGAACGGACAAAACAATAACAACAAACCAGGTCACAGATATAATGTTTTGTGTAAAAATACAACTAACAAAACCAACCAAACGAGAATGAACATTTAAAACACCCCAAATCAAAAGTCATTGTAGAAAGAGAATACCTGGAGCCTCTCATCATCAGAACAAATTACAATCGTTGTAAAAACAAATATTTCCTAAAAAGAAATGTGCTCAAGTTTTGTTTTTTGTTGTTTTGGTATTTTTCTGTGACGTGGCAATATGGTGTTGATGATTAGAGATTATGCAGTTTTAGTGATGTGATGCTCTTTGCATCCTTTACCACATAACTTCTATTTGAGTTTTAAAAGTAAATCAAATGTGTGTGGGAATTGCATTATATTCAATGGTTCAAGTAGAAATTAATTCATAAACGATAGATTCACCATTCTCTCACATTGTATATGTATTTGGCTAGGAGATGACTGCAGCGACCAGTATGCCTATTAACGACAGTAAGATTACCGGTAAACAACGAAGCAACAATGATAATGGAGTAAGTATTATTATTTCATAGTTCATCGGAAAAAATCATTTGACTGTGCCGATGCTTTACTCTTTCGAAGTGGGATTGTAATTTATTGATATTTAAAAATAGATATAATAAATATAGTCTCACAACCCATACCATGATTTTTTAAGTAGCTCGGTGCTGCATCCTGGGTCAATGTTAGGACAAGACGAATTCTGTATGATTTGAGTATCACATTTTTATCTTCATTCTCGTCTGAAGGAAGAGAGTTCCAATACATTACGGACCATACCCAAGTACATATTTGTTAATGGTTCAATAGTTTTGTAAATGTTTAATTGTTTATTTCTAGGAAGAGCCTGTCGCTGCGCGTAAGACACAGAAATCTAAACGAAAAAAGAAAAAGAAAACAAGCACTAAACAAGCGGCTGAGTTACAGGTAAGATTTACTTAAGTGTGAATTACAAATCAATAGTTTATGGTAAGCATTTATATTTAAACAAAGCAATGAAATCTTAAGTATCATATTAAGCTGCATAAACTGCACAATAAGTTATACCCATGTTTTATAAGTGCTTCACTTATTGGACAGTTGTACATGTGACATCACATTATAGATGATTGACGGACGGAGCAAAATTGGAGTCTTTCAGTGGCAAATGATAAAACTAAAATAATTAATACATGTATTTTTCGGGATAATATTCAATTCTAAGTACAACTGTTGTGCTATCCTTATAATCCAACTCATTAAAATCAACTGCTACAGTACCAGCGGTGTATACATCCGTGGAATTCAACACATTCTAAATTCACTAACGTTTTACTCTCCTTAAAATTTCAACACAAATGTTCCCGAGGAGACAACCATTTCTCTTCAGTCTGATAAAAACTCATAGATTTAATTTGTGACGGCGCCGTTACTGTATTCCCGATGTTTGCCATTTTGTGTATTTGAATCAGGTTAAATTACACTACTTACATTGATAATAGGTTCCTCGTTAGTGCATTTATATAAGCGAACAACTGAAGATGTCCAATTTTTTCAACAAGTAATTGTAAATTGTGTTTGGTTTTTATGCACATTCAGATTGATTCTGAACTGAGGGCGTCGTTTAGAATTTCCAAAAATACTGCGCCAAAATATTTTTACATTTTCTCTCCGTTCTGCAATCCTTTCATGTTCTTTTTGCCAATTTTGATATCTGCGGATAGCCCTTTGTTTATTTTTTAAATTAAGTACACAGCGAATCTTCCCGTCACTTGTTGTGTCATATGTTTCATTTAATTCTGAAATCTTGAAAAAAAAGCTTGATTGAAATGAAAAGTAAGGTGCCTTGATTTATATCTCTGTATTAAAACATCACTCAATAAACTTTCGGTATCTTAATTTTCGCCGGGTGAATCTTGAAGCTGACACTGTATATATAATTAATACTCCTGCATGTCTGTCTGAAAATAGCCTATATAATGAATCCATGGCATGACATATACAGCAATGATTAAAACGTGCATAGCAATGATGTTACAAGTGTGTAATATGTTATCAATAGAGTGGACATGACAGACTTCTTACACCTGGATACCTATATAATAAATTAAGGATACAAAGTAGAGCGCTATTCGGGCCACGATTTGTTCTCATACTTATTGAAAAGTATTTGGTTAAAATTTAACTTAACGTATCAGCGATGTACTACTAATTATCACCTCGATAAATAGGGAATTAGTGAAGCACTAATAATTACTGCATTGATAAATAGGGAACCATGCTTTATGTGGTCCATTTTCTATAAAAAAAATATATATTATTTTTGTGGAGGTTAATACATGATTCAATCTGTAGAATATTCGTAATCTATGGTATAGGTTTAAGTAAATTAACTGTATATGTTTGGCTAGGAGGCGACAACAGCTATTGGTACGAGTACCAACGACGGAGAGTTATCTGGGAAACAGCAACACAAAAGTGACACACCAGTAAGTAGGTCAATTGAATATCAACGGAAATTACATTTTTTCGAGACGTCAAGGTTTTTATCATATTCATTTTTCTTTCAACAAATTATCCCTTTTTTTATCGAAAGAAATAATAAGCGTTAAAATCGCTAGATACAAGAACCAAATGATTAATTTTTGGACAAAGAGGCTTTCTGTACATCTTTTTCTGTTAATTTTGTACCGAAGCAGTGTTTATTTGTACTCATATAATTATATGATGCGCCTTGTAATTTTACTTTCTTTACATGGAATTGTATCATATGCGAATCTTTGTTCTCATTTGATGGAGGAGAGTTCCAATCAAACCTCAGTTTTATGTTCAGTGGAATAGGCTGACGTCTTAGCAAAGGAGACACACGTAGGGATATACAAATTACAAAACATAAAGGATTTTATCACTTAGTTGCTTTTCATGTGCATTTACAATTTTCTCAGTAATTGCATTTGATTCAATAGTAATTAAGGGTGGTCGGGTGGTGCATTGGATAGCGCACTTGCCTTTAATCAAGGCGGTCTGGGTTCGATTCCCTGATCGGACGTGAAAAGGTTGGGGTCACCTGCCCGACCATGTGGGTTTTCTCCGGGTACTTCGGTTTCCTCCCAGACTAAAACCTCTCACGCGCTAACATCCGGGCCAACAAGAGTGATTAATATAAGTTGAAATAAATTGTTTCGTAATTGTTGTAAAATGAATAAAGTCTATAATTTAGATTCAATAGCTTTGTATTGAGTTCAAGAAATCATGCGGAATGAAAACTGTAATTGACAGGAAATAAAGGCCAAGTCACAGTACTCTACTATTACATTTTTTTTCAGGATTGTATCATCATAGTTCTTTTCGACATGTCTATTATTTTCCATTGATTCAAATGAAAATTTGAACGGGAATGAATTTGATTCAATAGGTAATTAGATTATGATTGTTAATACCAGAAAAAGAAGGATAAAACTGGCGGGAAACAAACGGCCGAGTCGCAGATTACAGCCGAGTCGCAGATTACAGCCGAGTCACACACATGTTTAACGGCCGAGTCAAATGTTACAGCCGAATCACAGATGCCGGCTGAATCAAAGGTTACAGTCGAGTCGCTGGGAAAGGTAAACATAGGAAACAAGTAGATATCAAATGGAATATAAGTTATAATTTATCTTTAAATTGATATCTAGATCTGAAGACAACAATTCAAATGCTAGTCATTGTTAAATATGATGCTTTTGAGAGAGATGTGAGTGACAACCGCTGGTAGTTAAATATTGTATGATATTAGTAATTCACAAAAAAAATGCAATTTCTTTTGAAATAGATTTTGGTGGTCATCAGTCAAATTAAAAGGGTCAAATGTCATAGTTAAAATCACAATTTACCATTTTTAAAAGAATAATATTATGTACGAAACATCTAATTAACCTTCTTTAAATTTAATTACATTTCAAACCATAGTATTGTAGCGTTAAATTGTACACCTGATTAAATCATGGGGGTCAGAGGTCAAGGTTAAAGGGTTCACGGGCCAAGAAGAGTGGGTATATATCTTAGTCAATCTCTTATATCTTTGTATTCATCTTCCTTCTCATTTTAAGGAGAAATATTCCAATTCAACCTCTTATCTGTGTTTAACAGGAAGGAGCTTTATCGAAGGAACTCTGTCAGAAAACTCTTGTCTTGGAGAAACAGGTAAGGACATCACTATGGCAAAATATTGATAACTCAACAATCATGCTTGCTTTCGACTGTCTATTTATTTTTAAGTAATTGAAACCTATGATTATAATTGAGTTGCTCTCAATGTAAGGAAAATATACTCTGTTTTTTTACTACTTGCCTTTCTGAAGGAGGAGTGTTCAAGTTCTACCCCCAATAAACGTAGTATGGAAAATAACAACGACTTACCGAAGGATCCTTGCCAAGAAACTGTATCCGCGGAGAGACTTACGAAGGTATTACTAATATAGCATAGTATAAGAGAAACATCTGTTTATAACGTGTTCCAGTAATTTTAATGCATATATATGGTAAAATCTTATTCGATTACTTTGTAAAATCTTTTTTTTTTATTTCTAGGAAGGACCCATTACTCAACACAAGGAACAGGTGTATGAAAGAAAAGAAAACGAAACCAATAGAAAGCCAACACCCGAAACACAGGTAAGATAGCATTTACATTGCTGATTTATCAATAATGAATACATAAATACATATAATTACATTAACTGAAAAAAGACATATCAGTACAGTGCAAAAGACAAAAATATAATGGCAACAACTGTAAAATCCTGCGGAAGGAAAAGGAAACATAGTGAGTTGCAGGTACCTTCAAGTTAAAAAAGATACAACCATCCCAAATCAACGTCAGGACAAAAGCGACTTTTTGAACTAGATAGAAAATTAGAGACTTTTTTTTACTAAATTGAATATTTCCGATAATAATTTTTGGTCAGTAAGAAGTAAACTAGTGATGGCTGATGATTGCACAGTATCATAAACCACATACGTATGTACTATTTCTTTATACTACACGATTGTACAACTTGTTGATTTTAATGTAAGATTAAATATATGTGATATTCGTTAACTATCTGATATGTTTCATAGCACAATTTCATACAAAATCTTATATATGTTGATTGTGTAAAACCATATATTTGTTAAGGAGGCGACTACAGTGGCTGGTAAGACTACCTTTGACGGAATATTACATGGAGAACAACAGAACGACACCAGTACCCGTGTAAGTAAATATTTGTAAAGTGTCTAGTAACGATATATAATTGATATATTTTCACGTTTATTTTAAATAATGTGTACTTTTCCTTTCCTCAAAAAATATATTGATGACATTTTCACAATCAGTAAAACGTTAAAAGGTACGGCTAGATGTTGGAGTCCGGTGAAACAAAGGAAATTTCCGTTAATATTGTGCATGTATTCACTCGAATTTTGTTCTTTACTAATGAGCATTTTGAAATTTCTTTTCAATATGTTCTGATTAGGTGCATGTGTTTATACACGAATCCATATTTAACATCTCAACTTTAGTTCTATACAGTATATTCCTGTTTGAAAAACAACTTATTACAAGGAGAAAAATCTAAGGGAATTCATACCGTAGTATTGAATGTTAATTCATTGTTGTTAAAAGATACAACTGTCGTAGGAAGTGTTTGCTATAACAATGCATTTGTTTGGCAGATGAGGAGCTACGCTGATTGTGTGAAGACAGGAAAACTAAAAAGTAAAAGTAGGTAAAGCAAATCCTTGGATTCGAAAACTATGATAGTTGACATATTTTCAAGTTGAACTGTTGGAGTACATATGCAGTTTCTTCACAATAAGCTGTCATATTACTTATTTCTTCATTCACCGAAACAATGCTATAATAGTAAGGCAACTAAGAAATCAAAGACAAACTAAAGACAAAAGAGTGGTTGAGTGGCGCAGTGGAAAGCGCACTCGGGTTTCATCAAGAAGGCTGGAGGTATGGAGTTACCTGCACGACCGTGTGGTTTTCTTCGAGTACTTCGGTTTCTCCTTCATTATGACCTCTGTCGCACTAACACCTGGGCAAACAATAATGTTTTAAAAAGTGAATATTAAGTGTATCACAATTGTTGTAAAATAAATGAAGATTATATAAAAGACAAATTTGACAATCAATGTGACATGTTATCCTATAAGTAGATCCCAATTATGTATCAATGAGGCAATGACGTTTATCTGTATCTATTTACAGCACCAAAATACACAAAAGAACGTAAAGATACAACCAAATCATTTCCTCTAACAGGAAGGTTATATTCCACTACAGCGGAGTCCGATGCAGAATCTATCGTTTCATTCCAGTTTGATGAAGAGGAAGATGACTTTGACGACAGTGATGTGGAAATAACCGAAGAAAAAGAAATTGTCTTCGGGGATAATACGGAAACTTGGTTTGAAAAAAGTCGCAACAAGTATGACTTTCAGGAAAATGTTTCTGAAACTTCTGAAAAGGATGTTCTTGACACAAATGTTCTGACTGAAGGAGTTGAATTGACAGATGCTTACATGGAGAAATTCACCAGAAATTCCGAAACCTTAAAACGGCAAGACTTCTATTCATTAAGTTCTGCAAATGAATTGCTTGCATTATGTAAAGATAAACCCCACCTATATGTATGTTGTAGACTGGAAATACAGTCCTCGCATAGTGCATTGGCAACGCTAATAAATCCAAGAAGAAACCTTAAAACAATAGCAATTCTTGGTCGATCAAAATGTGGACAGGCATTCACAGAGGATAAGGTCGTTGTTGAAATACTTAACAAAAAGAATTTCAAGAAAGAAACATCTGTTGTCGAAAGGGAAAAGAAAGATGCTGATGCATATGGAAAGGTTATGGGAACAATTGACAGAGTAAGACAAAAAGATGTCGAACATCCTGTTTTTATTGCTACACAAGATCCTCATGCTGGTCATTTGATGCTACCGATATGCAAAACGATACCAAAAATCAGTGTGCTTGCTGAAAACATAAAGAAATACTCTCCGAAACAGAGGATGCACAAAGTCGAAGTTTATGAATATGTTGAATCTAAAGGGATACTTCGATACCAGGGTATTACGGATATAAAACCAGAAGAACGGGATCAATACAGATTTCTTGTATGTTTCCTGCACTGGGGGAAGAAATATGTATATCCGCGAGGAGCAGTCATAGGTATTGTTCGAACCGATGGGACTGATATAGGGACTGGGTTGAAGATCATTGGCATTCAAAATCAAGTTCCAACCCTTTACGATGAACTTACAGTAAGAGAAGTACAGAGCATAATTGAAACACACAATGAACCAGCCAATGGTTCTCGAGAAGACCTCACAGAACGTGTTGCTGCTTTCACTATAGACCCTCCATTTTCGAAGGACTTGGACGATGCGCTAAGTGTCCTGGTACTTTCAAGGGACACATTTTTGGTTGGAGTTCACATTGCTGATGTTACTGGTGTGGTTTCTTTGGATAGCAACGTTGACAAGGAAGCGCGATCTAGATGTTCCACTTACTACTCGATTCCACAGGCCAGGGCTCTACATATGCTGCCAGAACCACTAAGTCAGGATAAACTCAGTCTTCTACCCAATCAAAAACGTGCTGCGATATCAGTATTCTTCACTATGAAAGAAAATGGTATCATAGTAAAAACACCAGTCATCCGACGTACTTTCATACAGTCAAGAAGACGTCTAACATATGAGGAAGCCCAAACCATTATTCACACCACCACTAGTCCTTGTTCTGATCCAATTCACGCACAAATCAAATTGCTGAACTTGTTAGCACAAAACAGACGCCGGGACCGCTTGAAAGGAGCACTACACGTATTCCCAGTAGAATTAGATGATTCAATCGAGACGAACAATATTTTACAGAATATTGAGGCTCACAATTTAGTGGAAGAATTCATGATCATGGCAAACCACGCTGTTGGCCAATATCTTGTTGAGGAATGTGGTGTTGTTGTTCCTTTAAGGTGCCAGGACGATCCTGAAAATGACGCTCTTTCGTCATGGTTGAATAAAAACACCTATTTAGCGGATATAATTATTGCATTACAAGACAGGAAGCTGTACACATCTGCGGGCACGAGAACGCTTAACGTTTCCAATGTTCCCCCGTCCAGATATACCCGCTTATTGCCTATTCAAACATGGGTATGGAAAGCAATTGTCGATGCTGCTGAAAGGGATGATATTCAACGTGTTAAACAACTGATAGGAAGTGATGATCTCCATCCTCAACAAAGCTTTGCCCTTCAGGAATGGATTTCATTCCAGGAGACCGCACAATACAAATGCTCAGGACCAATGGAACAATCAAAGAAGGGCGGGTACCACTTTTCCTTGGGTATAAATAACTATGTCCATTTCACTTCTCCTATCCGGAGGTATGTTGACATTGTGATCCATAGGCTTTTACATGCAGCCATGGACGGCTTGGACAAGCTACCATACACAGAGTCAGAAATAAATGACATCTGCAACGATATGAATAAGGTACGGCAACGGTCAAGGGTGTACCAGAAGCAATGCAACATGTTGTTACTCTCAACAAAACTGAGGAAATGTCCGCTGAAGTTAGTAGGATTTGTCGAGGATATGTCTGATGAAGGAGTGACCTTACATTTTCCTGGATTAAAAAACGTCAAAAACCAGAACAGATTGCTTAGATTCAGTCTTTTAGACGTGGTTTCGCAGCCACAAAACAGTGTAGACTTAGACCTTTTGCCACCCAATACAAGTGAGAAAAGAGAGTTAACGTCGGTCATGTGGCAAAGGCGAATTTATCTGCACAAAGGTTTTGAAGAGAAAGCACAGAAAATTGAACATATAGACGATGATTCTACAACTGTTCATAGGGTTGACCCCCACCAACGAACAATATTTCTCAAATATACAGCATGGGTAGAGATGTTGAACAATTTCCTTGATAAAAAGGACAGCAGCCTCATCAACCTGATCAAAGAAACTGAAAAAGACATGCATTTTGGAGCAACGCACAAATATGCACAATCAAGTTTAAAGGCTGTACAGGACGTGAGTTGCCAGAATCGAACTAGTGAGTTTGTCAACCCGATATGCAAATTCAAGCTTCCATTCCACTTAAACCAAACTGTTGCTGTACAGATGACAGCAGACTATAATAGAGGAACACTTTCCCCTTACATACAGGTGTTCGACATGACTCGGAATGTTTCATTTTGCTTACAGCACGTAGATAACCCTGTGAAATTCCTTGGAAGATATTCAACCGTGCCATCAAAGCCCCAGTACGGTACCGTGGAAAACTACATCAAAACGTGGTTACCCATCGCTCAAATGGAGTCAGCAATAAATGCTGTAAGGAGTCAAGAATCGGCTACTATCACTGGTATTCCAATACAATTTCGAGGAAAACGTGGCAAATTCTATCTCAAAATACATTACTGCAGGATGCGAGAAATTGAGTTTGGGAACACAGCTTTGGATATCTTTAAAGACGACACCGAAGAAGATGCACGTGACAAACCGGCCAACGATTTGAAAGAGAAAGGGGTGCTAAAGGAAATAATGTGTTCCAATTATCTATGTATTCGTTGCCCAGTTAAAAGGAGCATACCAACGAAACATAGCAGATCCGTTCAGGGCAGAATCGCTGACGAGAAAGTCATGTGGATAGGCCATGGTGAATTTACACACATGAGAAAGAGAAAGGTAGACAAATGTGGACATTGCTACGAAATTCACTTTAGGCTCCAGAACGACAACACTCCAGCACCAATGAATGAAGCAGAAATATCAGATGGGTGTAACTTGGAGATACTGATGAAATCTAAAGTCGACAGGTATACAAATTGTATAATAAACTTTGATTCTTTAAAGTTAATATGTACCTATCTTGGATAAACTATTTCATTCAACACATTGCAATTTAAATATAAGCTCACCTGACTCAAAAGATCAGGTGATCTAATCTCGAAGTGTGGCGTCATTCGTTCGTCCCTCCGGCGTTGTTCTTTTATGTTAAAAGACATCTTCTCAATAATCAAGAGTCCTTTTATGATGATATTTGCCAATAGCATTCAAGTTTGTTCAAAAGGATGATCGTGAATGGTTTTGAAGGCCACAAGGGTCAGTTTTGCGACAGCATTCAAATAACTACTTAATGTCTAAAAAGGTGATAGAATATGATTGAGGATTCTAAGTGCTTAGGTTTGGATTAACCTTCATTTCCACAAAAGTCTCTTCTGAGTCGCGACACGGTTCATGATAAATACACTTTACTCACTATTGATTTAAAATTTACAGAACACTCCTAATTTTTGAATTTCCTGTAATAGTTATTTCATGGTTCTACGCCACATCCTCTTCTGTCGAGTATAGGCCAATTTGGAATTCCTCGCAGAATTTAGCAGAGTATTTCTATTACCAGATTTCATAGCTACAACATTTTTTGTTTTTGTTTTGTTTTGTTTTTGCTTCTTTTAAAATTAGGGTAATTTTCTCCTTCCCTTTTTTGGCAATTTATAGAGGCTTTAGTAACTAAGAATATTATTTTTTATATATACATGAATGTTTATGTTTTCCTTTTCCAAAATGCAGGCGCACTGAGAATCTTATGAAGTTGCTTCCAGAGGCGACCTGCTTAGCCACTGCCGTTGCGCTTGCTAAACAGATACCGAAGATGAGTATGTAAACATTTCCTCGCTAAAATTGTTTAGATGATAGTCGTTTAATTTTCTGCACTTCATCTCGAAAACGGATACTAATGATATATACAACTTATGATAACATTGGTGTCAATCTTGTCTGTACATTTACATCTAATGCTTTAAATCTAAAATTGCTTTTTCAGACGATCTTCATTATGAAATTGCGAAAGAAATTCCAAGAGATGTTGAAATCGGTACGTTGCCAAAGAACAACCACCAACAACGAAAAGCCATCGAAAATGCTTTCACATCCCGCTTCAGTTTGATTCAAGGTCCCCCAGGTAATGCTTGATTTTAAATACCGTGACAAATATTCGACGTAGCATGTTTCATGAATATCACTGTTTTGTTTTATCACTGTACAGTTCCCTTATATCCATTGTTAAAAATCAAGGCGATATATATATGCATGTACATATTTGGATTGCAGAGTGTCACTGTGATACATTCTTTAATCATTGCTTCAACATTTGAACAAATTTGTCCGGGGCATATCTTCTGAACACCTGGTGTAACCAGACCTGATATGCAAGGTCATATTGAAATGGCGAAAAACAGAGCACAAAAAGTATTTTTTTCACCTGGAAAGTACATTAGTGTATGACTTGGTTGGTGGACTTTGGAGTACAAGAAGTAGCTCACTGCTTATATTCTGGGATAGGTGTACAGCTCGGTAAATTAAGAAATCATTACTGGTGGAGGAGTATGGATTGCCTTGTATTTTGCTTTGTTGTACAATGCATTATCAACACAATAGTTCCGAATTGTTGATGATTCGGTTAAACCACAGATGTATTCGTAATTGTTGCTTCGTGTCAAAATTCAGGCACTGGAAAAACATTCACAGGGATCAAGCTCATCTACCTGTTCAACTTATTCAACCAACGGTACTTCGAGAGGACCCACGAACGGCGTCAGCTCGTGTTTTCTGGCCCATCGAACAAATCTGTTGATCTTGTTGCAAGTAAGCAAACAAATCTGTTTGATGACTATGACGGGGTTCAGAAAAGGAGTAGCTTCATTTAAAAGCCTTAAAACCTCATCACTCTTTACAAAATGACACTAAATACTATGCACAACTTTTATATAAGAACAATCTTAGAATATGCAAAGGTTGTATTGGATCACTTCACTGAACAATAAAAAAAATAGTCAAAAATAGTCAATCCAACTTAATACTGCAAGTATAGTGGCAGGACTTCGCATACGTACGTGTACATATCACTTTAAATTATAGAAGGAGTTCGAACAAGAAACAACTTAAGATTAAGCTACTCTTACTGTACACAATATTGAAGTAGGTACCAATAAAGTACCTTAAAGATATAGCTGATTCTTTTATATCATAGTTCAATATCGATTAAAATAAAATAGTGTGGAAAAAAATCCATTAGTATACTATTCCAAATGAGAAATTATGCCAAAAACTTAAATTTAGTATAATTACTATACGTTAGAATCTGCTGCATGTGAACATGATTTTGAAGACGAATGCTCTAAAATTCATCTCAGCCTTAATTACAAATCCACATATTAAAAACAACAACAATTTACTGATGATATCAAAATGACTATAACAGATAAGAGTGTTTTATCAACATGGACAAGTTACTAGAAATGATAAGCTAAGATTTATATTTTACATAGGGATGTTTTCGCTTCTACGCACATAACAATATCATTCAATGTACATGGCTGGCGTAGTTTATTTACAACATTCTTACTAACACAAGTTCCGAAAGACCACCTCAGTCTATCGACTGAGTATGTGATCAACTATATGCCAATTGGTTTGGATATTAAAATCAATCTAACAGATAAGAATGAACCTAGTGAAGAGTGATAGCCAGTGAGTGATCTTTTACCCTGACGATATTAAAATTCAACACAAACTAACCTGTAATTTTAAATACGTCACTGGAGTGACTTCATCATACTAGTGACTTGCACATTGATATACATTGTACCCGTCTCTAATTTCATTTCATTTTAATACAAACATCGCTAACTTTATTAAGAGAGAACGGATATAGGCCTAGCCTGTCTATCAATCCCTTTTATGTACCATGTTTTAATAAAATTTGCTGAAATCACCCTTCAATATCACACCCTCGTCTTGAATAGTTGAATTTGACAAAGTTTATCTATTTTAAAATTTAAAAAATGTTTAGTCTTTGTGTTTATTTGACAGGACAAGTGCTTCATCGATTGTGTAAACACGCTCCAAAGATTATCAGAATGTACGGCCAAGCATACGAGTACCTCGATTTCCCAGTTCCAGGGAAGATAAGTTGCTCTCACAGGAAACTTCGTGACTCTAAACCTGACGAGGATCTCAAAGAAAGTGGTGTAGTACTCCACCATGTCATTCGCGAGGATGGAAAACCTTATGCCAACGAAATAAAGGAGTTTGATCAACGATTTCTGAATGCATCATATACAGCATCAATTGAAGAAATTGACAAATATCAGGAAATTCTCAGCAAAGCAACTAAAGAGGAGTTGAAGAACTACGATGTGATCTTCTGTACAACCTCCATGGCTGGGAACCCAAAGTTGTTGAAAGCTACAAAGGGAAAGGTGTATCAGTGTATCATTGACGAATGTGGCATGTGTACAGAGCCAGAATGTATGGTACCACTGATAGCAACAAGAGCAGAGCAAGTGGTATTGATAGGGGATCATATGCAACTCCAACCAATAATTCTATGCAAGGAGGCGGGGGATTTGGGACTCGAGACATCCTTGTTTGAGCGTTATGCAAAACTTCAAAAGAAAATGGAGAAACTGAATATGAAATATACTATGCTTGTGTGGCAATACAGAATGGTAAGTAAATGTTTCTTTTATTAACATACAACAACATATTGTAAAACAAGAGAAAGCCTATGGATAATAATGTTATTTTATTCAAATTTGTTCTCATGTTGTAGCATTAAAGTTCATATTAATGAAAGTATCGTTGAAATTGCAGAACCCCAAGATATGCGAATTTCCATCGAAGAAATTTTACGAGAATAAATTAAAAACGGCAAAATCCCCGTACTGGATGGTGGAACAACCTCTACAAATCTGGAACAACCCAAGCAGTGAGGAACACGTACCATTGGCATTCTGTCACATTGAAGGTTCTGAGGAAGTCCTGACTGTGTCAACTGAACAAGGCAACGAAAGATCCAGGAAAAACAAGGAAGAAGCTCAACATGTGGTAAGAAAAGCTTTATCAAACAAATACTCATATTCATTTAACAAGCATCGTTGGATAGCATGTGAGTTTTGAATATAGTATATAACGGATGTGTTATGCTAATATAATATTTACTTATTTTATTTATTTACTAGCCTGCCGTGACTCGAGAGTGTTAATATTAATTGTATAAAATGTATGAGGTTTACTTGCATGTGTATGCTCTTAATTTGAAAATTAACTAACGAAGATAAGTTGCAAAACAATTAAAGCAGCCATGAGTTGATGAACTGCTTTCCAAAATAACGTTTTTCAGCATAAACAGTTTCGAACGTAAGTTTTTGTATCAGAGAGCATGCATACATTCCGAACGTCGTGGTTGATCCAACAGGTTATCACTATCATCAGAATATACAACCAAAGGACGTTTTCTAGGTAAAATGAATACGTCACATTCCGTTTTTTTCTCTGTGTATTTACATTTTGCCCATTAAATATGTATCTGTTTACAATTATATCGAAATCGAGAAAAAAAATCTAAAACAGATCAATCATCAGCGACCTGCAGGTAGTTGCTTTTTACGTTCTCTGGAGCTGAATCCTGGGCGCTTCAAATAAACATTGGGACGGGGTTGAGGGAGGCGTACGTTTGAACTTGGGGACGCTTGTCTACTATCTTAGTTAAAGAATGATTCAACCTATAAGCAAAGCGAGTCATATCGGTGTTGTGCAAGACCAAATCTCCAATATTAATCGCCACCAGAAGTTATACATATAATGAAGATTGCCACATAGAGCCATGTTGATACTAGACGTTCCAAACAAACCACTTGTTTGAAAAGTAGTTTGGGGTCAAAGATCGTAGTTTGGTCAAAGTTGAAAGTCTCGCCGAAAATCCATGATTTGCATATTACACATGTGTAAGACTGTAAATAAAATAATTGATGCGTCTTTTTTATCGATTATAATGGGAATCAAATTGCATTTGGATGTTATAGTAGCAAACAATTGATATAGTCCATGTCAAAATCATATTGAATTGAGAAATTCTCCTTGATAGTTTAACCTCATACATTCGAGCTTTCAGATATTGGTGAGCATTGAAAAAGTTCACCATACTGACAACATCACTTTGTAGGCTCGCTTTTCAGACATTCGATTAATGTTGAACAGATTTAGAATATTGATAACATTGTGCTATATTTTTAGGCTCGAGTTTACAAACATTTAATAGAAGTTGAAAAGGTTAAGATTAACCACATCCAGATCATCACGCAGTACAACGCCCAGCGCCACGCCATTAAAGAAGCTCTGGTGGATGAACGGATTATCAACACCAAGATCAACACCGTCGTCAAGAGTCAAGGTAGCCTTACTTAAATGGGGATTTGTTATAACTTTAGTTAATACATACAATTGCTGGGTCTTAGCAATCTTGGGATTTTATAGATTTCTTATGTTATTATAGAGAAACATAATTTACGATTTTTTTTGTACGCTATTTCTCGTTATTGATTAACGTGACATATCTCAGCACGTTAGCTTGTACGTTAAAATTTACAATTTTTTCATATTCAAGGAATACTCAATGCACAAATGTCTTTGTTTTCCCTAAACTTGATTATAAAAAGACCTTTGCTATATGTAACATTTTAATTTTGTCAGGATGTGAATGGGACTATGTAATATTCAGCACGGTTCGTACATTGCCAAGATATCTGATCGAACACAACCCTACCATCGGTTGGTGCCGTAAAAACTTGGGATTCATCACAGACCAGCACCAGATCAACGTCGCTCTTACTCGAGCACGTAAAGGACTCATCATCATTGGTATTTATAGTTTGTTCACATCCTCAAAGGTTTTACACGTTTTTTCATCTTTTTTTAAAGCAGGAGACACATACCAACGTAAATCTTATTATTAGGGCCCCGTATCCGAGATACGGGTGCCCTATAATAATCACTCTGTCTGTCTGTCTGTCTGTCCACAAATTTTGTTTCTGGCTGGTAACTTTAGTATTTATTGTCCGATGTATATGAAACATGGTCAAAATGTTCAGTTCACAAAAATACACATTGAGGTAAAAAATCAAGGTCAAAGGTCAAGGTCATTAGGTTCAAAGGTCAAGGTCAAATTTTACATCTTTTCACTGATGAACATTTTGTCATGACACTATGAAGCAAAGTTGATCAAAATTAAACAAGGAGTCAACTGACCAAAGGTCAAGGTCATCAGGGCAATGGTCAAGGTCAAATTTTGTAGCTTTTCACTGGTGAACAATTCGCTACGACATTATGGAGCAAAGTTGTTTTGAATTAAACAAAGAGACATACTGAGTTAAAAGTCGAGGTCAAAGGTCAAGGTCATTAGATTCAAAGGTCAAGGTCAAAATTTGCATTCGTTCACTAATGAACATTTTTGTTATGACAAGATGACGAAAAGATGATCAGAATTAAACAACGAGTCAACTGACTAAAGGTCAAGGTCATTGGGTCAAAGGTCAAGGTTAAATTTTGTATCTTTTCACTGGTAAACATTTCGCTATGACACTTTGAAGCAATGTAGCTCAGAATTCAACAAGGAGTCAATTGACCAAATATCAAGGTCACTGTGTAAATGGTGAAGGTTAAATTTTGTACCTTTTCCCTGATGAACATTTTAATTTGACATTATGAAACAATGTTGTTCAGAACTTAACACAGAGTCAACTGACCTTAGGTCCAGGTAACAGGATCCAAAGGGTCAAGGTCAAGTTTTGTATTTTTCACTGATGAATATTTTGTTATGATATTAAGAAGCAAAGGTAGTCGGAATTAAAGAATAAGTCAACTGACCAAAGATCAGGGTCACTGGGTTTATGGTCAAGGTCATTTGGGTCCAAAGGTCAAAGACAAAGTGGATCTCTGACTCTGACCATGGTTCATGAAGGAGGAGGTATATAAGGTGAAATAAAACAAAACTAACAACTGAGTATTGCACCGGTATTAACATTTCTGTTAGCCCAGCAAATATGGAGGTGGAAGGAAGACTCACATCATAGTACATGTAAAATGTATATTTTGCTTCCTTTCCATTCTTTTTGAAGTCCAAATATCAAACGTCAAGCTCAGCTTTATGGGCAGATTGCTTCTTGATGATTATGGGGGATATATTGCCACAAGACGGGGCCCTTACTGACCTGTCAGTGTTCTAGTTTTGTGTAGCATTCTATCGTTAAACTGTAGGTTATTTATTACCACAGGAAACAAGCACCTGTTACGATGTGACGAAGTATGGCGAGACCTGATCAACAAGTATGAATCAGAGGGATTGATGTACACACATCAGGAGTTTCCTCCATCTCGTCAGCGGCGGCATGTTCAGCAGTCACGACCCCCGAGATTTCGATGACATGGTTGTGCTAAAAGAACCGTTATGTCGATGTCGATAGTCCGTGACATGCAAACATCTAAATGTGCTAAACACACTGTCACGCCAAACGGAAATAACATTTCCTATTATACTCATAAAATTATAAATTGAATTCATTGAATACATTACTGGACTGAAACTACTTGAAGTACCTGACTTTGAATTTAACATACTGTGGGTAACATATTCAGACATCGATGGTGATGCATTGTGTATGCAATGATGCCGGGGACACAGACAACAGCATTACTTTAGTGCGTGTGCCGTTCTACTTGGTCAATCGTGTGTCTATTGTGGTACAGTATTGATTGATTGTGTAAAACAAACACATTTTGAATCCCATGAGCAATGTGCTACTATATCAATTTCATGTAGGGATTACTTTTTTGGCGTATGCGTAAAATAGCGCTGATCCAGCTGACGGAAAAGGAACGAACGTTTCCTGAGGGGGGATTTTTATTATTTTATTTTAAAATTTAAATTTTATGTGATACTATTAGGATTGTCAAAGAAGGCATACACGAGTGAGACCATATTTTGTCTATGAAGGTTCTGTTAGAGACCTAGCTTGTATAGATTATTACGCCGTAAAAAATCGAGACTTTGCTTGTGTGTATCATTAAGCCATGAAATAAGGTTCCGTTTAATTATTCAAATCGTGATTAATTCAGATTAATCATGTTGCTAAAATTTTCTGAGACGGTAAAAAGCTATTTACCTAACAAAACTGTTAATGTCGAGTGCACAATGATATTCACCATACCGAAGTAACGGACCTTTACCTTTTATCATCATATGTAAATATATAACCTCCTTTATATCATCAAATAGTTTAATAAGGGAAATCAATGTTACATCTGATTTTACAAACTGTCAAATGAGAAACGAAAGGGCAAATATTCAACAAGGCAGGCGATTGGAGTTGTTTTCTACTTTTTTAAGAAATAGGAGAACGAATTCAACACTGGTCGAATGATAAATATATGTAAAAAATTATACTATATTTTCGCGATATATCTTTCCCAAAATCATGTATTTACTGTATATTTACCTATGAAAAAGATCTTACGAGAGTTTCTACTCCATATCCCATTCGTCATGCTTGGATGAATCGTCGTGTCATTTTTTTCAAGCTTCAGCATCATTTTTCAAGCTTTAGTTTATCGGTACATTATTGTTTCTTTGTTGTTGTTCGAACACACACTGTATCATTGGCTAACGATGCGGTTATTGTAAATTCTACCCTAGGCTTAAGCTTGACGATGGGCTTATTTTTTTCAAATATTAGTTTTATCTTATTATATTTCCATTTTTGTGATTTATGTAATATTTGTGTTCTAGTGGGGTTTTTTTTTAGAAAGGAGCGGATTACTCCGAAAACTTGACAATCTCATATTGTGTACTTTGTTGGATTTACTTTTTTCCTTACCCCATATACCAATTTTTAGTTATTCATATCTTTAAAACATTCGTTTTCAAGAATCAAGTGGTTTTTGAGAAGTGACCGTTGATGCTACTTCATCGACCCATATATATATACATGCGAGTTAAAATATCAGAATCATGCAGATCTGTAAAGTATTCGTAATTGCATTATCAGTCGTCATGTGCTTTACACATAGCTTCATATAGATAAAAGTTTTAACGTCATTAATTAAGGGGATAATGTATACTGTGACATCATAAAGAGAGAGATAGGCTAGTGTCTTTGTGTAGCTATGTGTAATGTGTATGAAGATCGTACCGTTGTTATTACGTATGAGACATATACATTACATACTGCAGATGGTGCAAATAGTGTACAGGAATAATATTGTTATTGTATTGTTATTAATATGTTTATTGTCACCAGAAAATCTGACAAATAAATATCAACATAACCTGACTGAACATAACTTTAAAAATGTTTATGTATTAATTGTTATGCATAATATTATACTTTGAATATAGATGAACCTTCAAAGAGGTGAAAGCACTAGGTAGGTACTAAGAAACTCTTGTCATTTGTTTTTTTTATATTGTATATTTATATGTGCACATTGTGAATATCTACTGATGGAAGTGACTTAATGCTAATTTGAAAACGAAAGTAATACATATGTTGATTTTCAATTTTCTTAACCATATTATTGTGAACATTGCGTGTCGTTAAATGATCCTCTGTATTATTTACTGGTACGTATATGAGTGATATATATTCGTGTATTTATAGAGTATTTATATCAGATGCATTAGAATATATATATTTTCCGGATAGACAATAGAAACCACATTCATAAATTTCATGACTTTCATGGAGAGAATAACAGATATGAAATACTTTTTTATCAAAATATTGCTTTGAGTGTAAAAATTTTGGAAGCTAGACCAGTATTCGAACTCCAGACCTCAGATTGTTATAATGTCGCTCTAACCAGAAAAAAAACTACTTAGTCCACGGAAGGATCCTGGGCAAATCGCGCTACAGTTAAAAAGAAATCAAGTTTCTGTATGTACGATTAACCTCAGTGTAATTCCCTTGTGGTTTTTTCTGCAATGTAACAAGGACCCTTAGTAAAAGTCTACCACAAAATTTCAGATTCAGTACGAAATTTCAGCAATATGTTTTTGTAAAAGTTATATAAGACATCAATTTAATTATTTTACTGCTTTCTTTTTATATTTATAGTCCAAAAACTTACTTATTAACATCATTATAAAAGTATATATATATATATATTGATAATGATCTCCGTGTGTTAATTTTTTTACCTGTTACATATGTACTCTTGGTAACTATGTAACACCACTGTTTTATCATTTCGTTACAGAGTGTGATATATCTATATATATACAGAGTGTGATACTGTATATATATAAACAGAGTGTGATATGTGTTGTTGTATTTTACAATACATTTTATACTTATTATAGGTATTGTTAAAAAATGTTGAAACAAAATATTTTGTTTTTACCTTCAAATTTGTATACTTTGTTTATATTTTTATTTGGAGGTGTTACCTCACTGTTTTTAACTACTATGCATGCGTTTCCCTAAACGTTTTGCAAAATATCACAATCACATTAAGTTCATTTCAAAGTTTAAATGTCATAGAGCACTTATTGTGACCCTATCATATGCAGCTATTGTAACGATAACATTAAATCGTAAGTATCCGACGACAAGTTAACACTTAGTCGTAGGTAGCAACCGTAAAGCTAACACTTAGTCGTAAGTAGCAACCGTAAAGCTAACACTTAGTCGTAAGTATCAACCGTAAAGCTAACACTTAGTCGTAAGTGTCACCCGTAAAGCTAACACTTAGTCGTAAGGAGCAATCGTAAAGCTAACATTTAGTCGTAAGTAGCAACCGTAAAGCTAACACTTAGTCATAGGTAGCAACCGTAAAGCTAACAGTTAGTCGTAAGTAGCAACCGTAAAGCTAACACTTAGTCGTAAGTAGCAACCGTAAAGCTAACACTTAGTCGTAAGTAGCAACCGTAAAGCTAACACTTAGTCGTAAGTAGCAACCGTAAAGCTAACACTTAGTCGTAAGTAGCAACCGTAAAGCTAACACTTAGTCGTAAGTAGCAACCGTAAAGCTAACACTTAGTCGTAAGTAGCAACCGTAAAGCTAACACTTAGTCGTAAGTAGCAACCGTAAAGCTAACACTTAGTCGTAAGTAGCAACCGTAAAGCTAACACTTAGTCGTAAGTAGCAACCGTAAAGCTAACACTTAGTCGTAAGTAGCAACCGTAAAGCTAACACTTAGTCGTAAGAAGCAATCGTAAAGCTAATACTTAGTCGTAAGTAGCAACCGTAAAGCTAACACTTAGTCGTAAGTATCCGACGTAAAGCTAACATTTAGTCGTAAGTAGCAACCGTAAAGCTAACACTTAGTCGTAAGGAGCAACCGAAAAGTTAACTTTAAGATGTAAGTTACCGTTCTTACATTAAGTGTCGTTATGCTGGATTAAAGCTTACATCTGCTAGAAAGAAGTTGTCATAAAGATACAGTAAGTCGTTAAGTATTCCTGTCGTAAAGACAACATTAAGTCGTAAGTAGCTGCCGTATTGCTGACTTTTTGGTCGTAAGTAGTTTTGAAGATACAGTTTAGTCGTAAGAAAAGTTGTCGTAAAGCTAACTTTTGGTCACAAGTATAAGTGTTGTAAAGGTAACATTTAGTCGTAAGTAGCTCTCGTAAAGGTAACATTTAGTCGTAAGTACCTCTCGTAAAGCTAACATTTAGTCATAAGTAGCTCTCGTAAAGCTAACATTTAGTCATAAGTAGTTGTGAGGATAACAATTAGTCGTAAGTAGTTGTGAAGATAACATTTAGTCGTAAGTAGCTCTCGTAAAGGTAATATTAAGTCGTAAATAGCTCTCGTAAAGGTAAAATTTAGTCATAAGTAGCTTTCGTAAAGCTAACATTTAGTCATAAGTAGTTGTGAGGATAACATTTAGTCGTAAGTAGTTGTGAAGATAACATTTAGTCGTAAGTAGCTCTCGTAAAGGTAATATTAATTCGTAAGTAGCTCTTGTAAAGGTAACATTTAGTCATAAGTAGCTTTCGTAAAACTTACATTTAGTCATAAGTAGTTGTGAGGATAACATTTAGTCGTAAGTAGTTGTGAAGATAACATTTAGTCATAAGTAGCTCTCGTAAAGGTAATATTGAGTCGTAAGTAGCTCTCGTAAAGCTTACATTTAGTCGTATGTAACTCTCGTAAAGCTAACATTTAGTCGTAAGTAGTTGTGAAGATAACATTTAGTCGTAGGTAGCTCTCGTAAAGGTAATATTTAGTCGTAAGTAGTTGTGAAGATAACATTTAGTCGTAAGTAGCTCTCGTAAAGGTAATATTAAGTCGTAAGTAGCTCTCGTAAAGGTAACATTTAGTCATAAGTAGCTTTCGTAAAGCTTACATTTAGTCATAAGTAGTTGTGAGGATAACATTTAGTCATAAGTAGCTCTCGTAAAGGTAATATTGAGTCGTAAGTAGCTCTCGTAAAGCTTACATTTAGTCGTATGTAGCTCTCGTAAAGCTAACATTTAGTCGTAAGTAGTTGTGAAGATAACATTTAGTCGTAGGTAGCTCTCGTAAAGGTAATATTAAGTCGTAAGTAGATCTCGTAAAGCTAACATTTAGTCGTAAGCTTTAAAATCTGTCGTAAAGATAAAATTTAGTCGTAAGTATAACTGTCCTAAAGATAGCAATAAGTAAAGCAGCGATCGTTTGTAATAATTTTTATTTAGTTCATGTGATCAAAAAAGGTAACATGCTCACACGTTTGTGTCGACTTTGGCGAGACTCGGGTAAATTGTAGCCAGTCTTATACTCGGTATTTGACATTAATCTGCAAAAACAAGTGATCAGACGATATTAAAATTTTAGAGCAAAACGGAAGGAGATTACCTCCTGTACCCACTATATCATAGTATGCTTAGCTGAGATTATTACAGAGCTACATTAACAGAATAATTATACTGCAAAATATAGAAACGTAAACAACGAAAATCTATCATAATCATGTTTTATTTTTACTTCAAATGTATTCCAGGTATATCACACGCTACAAAGAATAACTGAATATTATCTCCGTCGAGAAAAGTTTTAGTTTTTTATTTCATTTTTTTGTAATATACAGGCCGAAACTCACTGAGGGAGAATTAACAGTGGTATTTCCTTTCACCACCAGTGTTTGTTTTGTGTGTGATAGAAAGGTAGTGTGGATACGTGGAATAGTAGGAAGGATGCGGGTGTGGGTGCTATGATGCTGCTGTAGGCGCGTTGGTAAATTTGACCTACCTACTAGGACTTCTAATGATAGTAATCATCTCCCAGTATTACAGATGTGTCAAACAATGCAGCGGCATTGAAAAATGTATGAGAATGTACATGTGTTTCAGTACAAAAGACGTTTAATTTGTTTTTATATAGTGTAAATTGAAAAAACAAAAATGCTATTTCCTAAATGGCATATAGTCTTCATATGCAATATGCTATATTTGCAAAATGCTATATAACAAGCCATGAAACGTGACATGACAGGGTGTGATTTATGTTATACCTATTGCATATGTATTTTGATCAATAAAATACTATATTATTTTAATATAATATATACACATATCTTCTTTTCGTTCGGCTGGGAGCCCAAGGCTATTTGTAATGAAAACTTCATTTAGTGTACCAAAGCGAATTGATAAATAAAGGTAGATAAATCTACCTACGTAGATGTGTTCCCTATAATCGAAGTGTGGAAAAACTGAAAAGCAAATTTATATAAGTAATATACGGTGCTTATAAAGGCAATATACCGAGTAAATATTTGTGAAATGTAGGTTCTGATTCATTTGACATGTAACACGACTTTTGATGGGTCAATCAAAATAATTTGAGTCAGTATAGCCACGATATTCCGTCCACAAATTTCTCATTTGCATATAAAGCCCGGATGGCGATTATTAATGACGTCAACGACCCTTACACGTCATGAAATTGATTATTCCTGACGTCACGAACAATAGTGTGACCCCGAAAGGTCAGTGTAATTCCGCCTCACTTTGAATATTTCTGACGTCGCCGATCGATAACAGAGTGACCCAGATTTTAAAGAAATCTTTTTTTCTTTGGTACTTGTACTCTTACTGGACAAACGACGGACGTGTCTTCTATAAAGTTGCACAGGACTCGCCCAAAATACTCGTCAAGACACACAATGACATATCGGACCTTGTACCAGAGGGCCATTGAGTGACTGTCATGTTTACACAGTAAACACAGCCAAGAATGACTTGACATTCTGTACATAATGTCAGTTCATTAAAATAGTTATACATATATCATACAAAAACCCACCACCCAATCCATTTCCATCCATGGTTGGCATAATAAATATTACATGCATGCTACTAATGTATGTATTTAAATATGTATAAATAGGTGCACGCGTGTGAGCATATTTTGTACGTGTGTTTATGTGTGGATTACATACATATAGAAGCCTGTGTATAACCATAAGTGTATGTGTATATACTCTGTGTATGTTCGGGTGAGATATTTAATTTCATTTAATTTCATATACATGCACGAGTATTTAAATACTATATATAATATAATATATGTGAACGTTTACTTGTATGCATAGCAAATTAAATAGTACATGCATGCTGCTTATGTATGTATGTATGTATGT